ATTTAATGAATGTACTTTGGCTGAGTTTATATGAGGTACAGTCCTTGTTTGACCTGCGAGCATTGATAATAGGACTAATACTTGTCTAAAGATCAATAAAATATATTTTGGGACATATTGGTATGTGTAAGGAGGACAGAATAGGTCCTTTCTGTTGTAACTCAGTTTGCTTTATTAGGTTGAAAATAACCTCTTTATTTTTCTTTTGAGAAGCATTCCTCTGGGTGTTATCAGAAAAAATACAGAATGATAAAAACCTGCTTCCTGCTTGCGGAAACAAAGCTGGGCCTTTTTAGTGTGTATTTGTAGTCTGTTCTTAGATATATATTTGTGGGTCTAGAAAGTGTATATGAGATCACTGTGGAAACAAATAGAATAATATATGTAGACGAGTACTTGAAAAACATACCTGTACAGTAACTGAAGTTTTTTCAAGATGTTACTTCTATCTATGCTATGTTTTCTGTCCTTTTTTTGTTCCCCTACAACAGCGCATTACAATTCAGATCCTTTAGGCTAACGGGCTGTTCTGTCTGCTAAGCAACTCAAAATGTCCAGTCCCTGTGGTGCTTCAGGCCATTCTGCTCAACTAGTTTATTCTAATAAACTACTCCATTCCTTCTATGTTTGTGGATCTCAGTGCTCAGAGTGAGTTCAAATTAATCTCAAACATAATACAATTTAAGTAACCTTTCTACAGTAAGTATAGGTAGCTGCCAGACTGAACTTCACCCTTTTATTCCTTTATATACTAGGTTTTCTAGGAAACGGCAAGAAAAAAATGTTCTTTTCTATCACATGAGTATTCCTGCATATAAATCCTTACCGTGACTATACTGTCATTGGTGCCTATGATAGAATCAAGTTCAAGAACAGTGTAATGGACTTGTCTGGGTAGGTTTTACAGCCATGAACTGCAGATGTGATTACCCTTTCCAGACTTCAGTGTTGTCGTTTGCATCTCAGGCTTGAGTAAGTAAATCTCAGAAACATACTAGATAGAAAGGAAGTCTGTAGTGCTGTCTAGTGCTGGAAGACATGCAGAAATAAGTTTGAAATTTTATTTTTAGTTCCCTTCTAGTTAAGGATGTGTTAGGTATGCATTGGGAGTGCCCATCAGAGCAATCTACATACATAGACTGGCTTTCAGAAGACAGGTGGGTTTTTTTCCATGCTGATGTTTTAGATCTCGGCTCCATCAAACTAATCTTGGTAGCCTTATCAAGAGTTTTCTTGACTTCAGCTTAAAAATCTTGCTAGATTTCATGAACTGGCAAGGAATCAGAGATTCATCTTCCCTTTGACTAGAAGCCTCTGTGTCTTTACGTGGTATCACCAACCAAGTATGCTGGAAAAACAGTATTTGGGGACAGGAGTAGGACACGGGGTGGGGTGTTTTGAAGTCTCCTCAGGAAATGAGGGAGAAGATCATGATCACATATCAGACTCTATTAAAACTGTCATGAAATCATTCCTGCATAACAGACCAATACAGTTCACAGGTTTACTAAATAAAGCTAGACGAAAAATTCCCAGAAGCTGGTATCTCTTTTTTTTCCCCTCTGGGTGTAATGTAGCGGTATATGTAATAGAGAATTCCTATTTCATCCAGTATCTTTTTCCAGTAATCCCTTTCTAAATTAGGGCTATGTTAGTATAGTCCTTCTTATTAGCTATGCATAGATTTCATTGTTTGCCCCTTTTTGTAATTAAAGAAACCAGATAGAATTTTTTTTTTCAGGCATTCATGTAGTCTCTGCTTGAAAAAATGGTAGCCAGTCCTTCAGATTCCTACTAAGGTGAGGTTTTCCAGACTGCACATATACACTCTAATAAAATTGCTTTCTGTACTGCTAACAATTACAGTGTATCCTGTATTAACAGCAGTTCAGAAGTTCACTAGCAAATGTTGGTTTTCTTTTCTTAGTGCAGCTGTTGTGGATGAACGCAAATGTATAGTGATACAGCAGCACACTAACTGCAATATGATAACAGCATAAATTAAATGTTATCTGTCTTAACATGCCGAAACTAAACTCTATTATATACTTGAATATTCTTTGCTTTTTCAATGTGTTTTCCTCTCAGAAGCTTTCAGACTTTAAGTTCCGTCCATAGGGTACTGCTGGTGCTTTGCTGATGGCTTCTTTCAACAGCAGCATTTTGCCTTTTGAGATTCAATAATAGATTTCCCGAGGACCTGACAATTTCATATGAAAACAATTTGTCAGCACTCAAAATGAGTATAGGAGTTTCATTATAGACATACTATGCCTAAACTGGGACCCAAATAAATTTGCTTTTGTTGTAAATGCCAGCTGCCCTTGTCCTCTAAGAGTTTGATTCCTGCGGAGGGGGTGGCAGAGCTAGTTATAAGCAGATGCTTCCTTTGTGCAGTGGGCTCAGGGCTGCCTTCTTTGTGTAGTTCCCCGTCTCTTATTCCGTGCTTCCACAGCGTTCCCGCTTTTCTACTTTGGAATGTTAAGCCAAGATTGTCCTGGTATGTCTATACATCAGCTTAGTCTGGCCAGAGCTATTGCAAACGTCCACTTAGCTGCTAGAGAAGGTATTACGGTGAGATGTTCCAGTCAGATCCAAAGTCACTAAACCAACAGTGTGATTGCTGGCCAGCTGGATAGGTTGAACTGATTCAAAGCATTAATGAATAAGAAAACCTGACTATGGAGAGGACGTGTGTAAGGCGAGTACTTGTGCAAAGTTAATTTTACTGTAGTTTCTGAGTTTTATCAAAATCAGCTTGTCTATGGTCCTTCAAAGCTAGGCTTGGCAGCAGAAGAAAAGGAATGGCACGTATGAGATAAATCCAGGACTTCTGCTTTATTGCACTGACAGAACCAAATTGTTCAATCTGTTGCCTCATCTGTTTCTTGCCATAGCTGGGAGTTGTAAAGGTCAGGCCATCGCAGCACAAAGGATATAATAGTTAACATGCTGCATCTCACAGTGTTACCAGCTGGCTGGTGCATTTCTCCCATTGAACATCCAGGCTCTTTCCCAAAAAACGTAAGTAGCATCCTCTGCCTATTTTGGGAATGCGTCAAAGTCAGAAGTTTCTGAAGGTGGTAATGTGGGACGCCCAGTATGGTCAGTGCTGCGCTCGACGCTGACATCCTGTGCTGCACTTAAGAAGGCCGCAGCAGTTTTCAGTTTGAAATAATTCTTATCACCCTCAGAGGTGCAACTTTTTGTCCCTGTGCAGTCGGGTCTGTTTACTGAGGAAAAATTACCTTACTGTCAGTTGTGTGTGTTTGAGGAGGTGTTATGTGATGGAAGCCTCTACCAGTGTACCAGTCACCCCTGACCCCCACCTCCTACTGCTGTTGGGTACAGTGCCTGGGTGACAAAGGTTTCATCCCACAAAAGAAGTCAGGGTTATAGCTGCTCTGCTTGTTATACCCTGGTGGAGAATGAGAAGTATGGGTATGGCTACAAGGCAATAGCTACTGTATCAAAATTACTGTGAATACACGTGAATAAAGGAGGTAATGAGTGATACAAATAAATACGTATGAAACTGACTGCTATGGAAGACCTTTTTGGTTTAAATCTGATCTTCAGCATGATGTCTAATGTACCTGTCTCTCTTGAAAATATCTGATGGGTGCACAGGCAACATAAATGTGTTTTGTCATCCTCCTGACCCTTCCTCAGTTTTGAAGCGAGTCCTCTGACTCTTTAGCTCTTCTTTCTCCCCCTCTGTTTTTCCATGTTTTTAATACATGTTAAATGATGAAGATTAATGACAATACTTGGCAGTATTTGACAAGATAAAAACAGAAATAAAGCCAGTTATTACTTCCTTCCAGTATTTTGTTAATGGTTTTGCGTCCTAACAACTCTTTACCTTTGCAGAAACCAGATTGGTCGTTCATATCACATTAAAACTGTGAAGTTAGCTCCACTTCGAGGTGTCTCAGTCTTAATATTTGCTGTTTTTTTGCTGTAGGTTGTCAGTAGGCATTGATGAATCAATTACATTTGTTATTTAAAAGACACAAAGTTCAGAAACTCTTATTTTTAAGAACATCGGGATGACCAAAAAAAAAAAAATCACATGCTATCAGGATAGGTTAAGCCAGTCTACTAGTCCGTTATGGTCCACCAGCACGTTTAATACAGACTGCATCAGTGCTTTGGCCTCCAAATACCGCTTGGCTTTTATTGCCTGAAGCCTGCACATCAGCCATCGCGGCTGATCCCACTGCGTATGTTGGGCACGCACTGTGGGAAGGGGAGACGTGCCCCTGGGCCTTCTGAGAGTGGAAGCACTTGGTTATTGAGTTATGACAAAGACCTGAGGTCTTCGATGTTGCAGCTGATTGACTGGGTGGGACCACACAGCAAAAAACCAGCGCTGCCCTTGGACACTAGGGACTATTGCCTCACACCTATTGGTCTCAATTCCAGTTGCTCACTTGGCGAATCAGAATGACATAAAATACACTCTCCTAGCATAGCGTGTCTTATACTTCAGTGCTTTGTGTTAAGAAGCTATGTCGCAGATGAAAGCTGCGGGAAAAGATGTTGATGGTTTAAAACTGAATTTATTAGTTGGGTTTAGGTTTCTAACATGTACAAACTGCTTTTTTGGCACGAGTAACAACATGAGACAAAAATGCCTTTTGGTAAATTCTACTAGCTAAAACTTCTTGTTTGCCTAATGTTATAACTAAATCTTTACTGTTCAGTATTTTAAATTTTCTCTGTATTGCTATTCAAGGGAAAAGTATTGCCATAACTTGTTCTTTATTCCAAGTCACTGTTTGACTTAACAGAAGATCTTTGTTTTATGTTTCAACACTTACTTGGAATGCTTGTGAACTTTAAATGTTTTCTTTATTTAAAAAAAAAAAAAGGGGGGGAGAGGGTATATTGATGCAAGTGGTGTATGATATTTTAGTACATCCTGGTTTTGACAGTTCATATGTCTCCTCCTTCAGAATGCTGTTTAATTGTGATTTACTTTTCATTCCTAAAAGGTGCCATACTTGGCAGATCGGAAACACAGGAGTGTATCTACTACAATGCTAATTGGGAAAAAGATAAAACAAATCGCAGTGGTATTGAACCTTGTTATGGTGATAAAGATAAAAGACGACACTGTTTTGCTACATGGAAGAATATTTCTGGATCAATTGAAATTGTGAAGCAAGGTTGCTGGCTAGATGACATCAATTGTTATGACAGGTGAGTGAGTTTCCTGTAAATTTTAAATTTATTTGTAATTTTAAACTATTCTGCCTGTCCATAACTTACACAACCTCCCCTTTGCAAACAGTACTCGAGACAAATGATAATACAGTAGTCTATGAATAGTTACCTTGTTTTTAGACATGCATACACATGCTTTTTTTTTTGCTCGCATATCTGTATTTAGGGACCTGACTTCATCTAAGTACTTTGTCTTGTTTGCAGAATAGCATGTTTTATCTTCTCTTATTTACTTACTATATAATAAAACCCAGGTGTTTAATTTTTTCTTTTTTAGGCCATTAATAATAGATTTTCTAATGACTTGTTATTGCCAAACAATGCAAATATAGTTATTGAAACCAGAATGCAAAATTCTATAGTTCACTTTTCCACAGTCTTTGGAGTAGGAAAGTCATCACATTGTGTCTGCGCTTTAATTAAACGTGCAAGTATTTTGCCGATGTATTAAAAAGCTTGCCTCAGTGGCAGCTCTAAGAAACATTGAATGTTCTAAAATTCCAGTCTTTTTTTTTTTTTTATAACAGATGGTCTAGCAAGTACCCGTGAGCAGTAACAGCAGGACTTGGGTTTTGTTAGATATTGGCTGAATAAAGGTCATGACTCTCTTAAGAAATGGTATTATAGTTCTTTGAAGTACTGTGCTAAGTTTTATTTGACCAAAACAGTTATTGTTTGGAAAAGAGAGAATTAAGAAAATAAATGCATAATAGATCTTCATTAAAATGTATTTAGAAATTATTTTTAACAGTGTTTTAGAAAATTTTCCTTTTGTGTTTCTTAAATATTGAATGAGTAGAAGAAATCATTATAGTCACTTCTACCAAATAAAGTTTCCCCACACACTAGGATGTCTTCTCCTTCAATGACAATCTAAAGCTAAGTTGAACAGTAGTTCTGATCTCAGAGAAGCAGCAAAGCATCTGCAAGCTCGCTTGCACAGCACGATTGAAATTCGGCTATGCTAGAAAGCGAAGGATGTTTTTGAAGAAATCTTATTTGTTGCTACTAATACCTAGTAACTGTAAGTCACTCAGGATGGGAAAGTACTTTGGGGTTTTGTTGTTGTTTGGGTTTTGTTGTTTTTTTTTTTAATCTGTTCTTAGTTGTAGCTTTGCAGGAGAAGTGGGGGTGTTTACAATTTCTGAACTAAGTTTATTTCTGCTAAATGTTAAATTTTTAGGACGGAAGTAAAATTTTTCAATTTGGAAATAGAATTGGGTTCTGTAGCACTGTTATCCCTCTAGTTACACATGTATCTTTGCACAGTCTAAAAAAATGGGTATTAAATTCTCCCTTGAGCAAAGAGAAGAAATTGGAAGAAGAAATAAAATGCAGGAAGGATATTAAGGAAATAGTTGAAAACTGAGTAAAAGTTTGTCTGGCTCTAAGACCTCATTAACTGTAACTTGTCATAAGAATGCACGCTGCCGTGTTTGACTAAAATATCCGTTAAACAAAATCTTATCTCTGGGAGTGAAGAGTGGTTTACTAAACAGGGAGTTACAGTGTGATGAACTCCAAACAACAGCAGATTAAGAACACCAAAGAATAAATGGTTTAAGGAAGTTACAGTACAGTTAAATTGTAATAGCTGGTTCTATAAAATAACCTCATTTTTTAAGATAAACCCAAAACTCCTTTGACAATCTTCAGCTGTACTTAAAATCCTCAACTATTTCTGCAGAACCTTCAAATTCTTCTCTTTCTGCTGTCAAGTTGTCTCCTGCATGACTCCTTTTTTTTTTTCTTTCCTGACTTGAATAGTTTCAGCTTATTTGTTAATAGAACTCCTTTTCTGCGGTTAATTCATTGAGTTAAATAAGCCCTGCCCATGACCATAATGTAAGCAGGGGAAATTGCAGAAATTTTATCTTTTTTCTAAAAATAAAATAAAATCTAAAAATTCTCCTTCCCGCTTATCTCCAACCCATGCAACCCCGTATTGTGAGTTTATGGTTAAACACTAGCCATTTGATCATTTGTTTGTCCTGTTTAAATCTAGATCATGAACTGTTCTTCAGTATTTTTGTCAGCTTTGAAATGCATCCTGTTGGTGGTTTTCTTTAACTTTGTCTCAAAAGTAGCAAAAATGTGCTGTTTCAGTTTTATTATTAATGGTATTTCATTGCAATATAAAATAATGAACAAAACTTTAATTTGTTTCTTCAGATTCAACTCTTAATTTGGGTAGTATGTTATCTTGGATGATTTAATGAAGCTCGCTTTAAATATGAGCATATGTTTTCTCTTGAACAAAAAAAAAAACCTTAATAGTTTTTTTTATTGTTATCTTTTATAGGAATGATTGCATAGAGAAGAAAGACAGCCCTGAAGTGTTTTTCTGTTGTTGTGAAGGCAACATGTGTAATGAACGTTTTTTCTATTTTCCAGAAATGGAGGTCACGCAACGTAAGTTAGTCTAACACATTTATGAAGGAACTGCTTAGCAGAGTTCAGAAATATTTAATATTGTGCATGTTCAGGAGATAAGACTTTTCAAAATGTTGCGGTCAGTTTTTCCCGCCAGAGGTTTCTGACTCCCAGATGATAGTGTTGTGTGCGTTCACGTAAAGAGCCTAGAAAATTGCCAGTTCGTTTCTTCAATTTTGAAAGGTCTCTGTACTAGAAGTAATTTAAATTGATAAAAGATACTCCAGCTCTTTTCTAAGGGTAAGAAGGAAGGATAATCTGAAATAATTGGCTGCTTTAAGATACAGAAGTTACTGTCAAATCTTACCTTAATTGTGTAGTTAAACTTCTGTAAGTGTCTATAAATCATTGGGCTAAAAGCCATATCATCCTTATATGCATGTACCAGCCTATGAATGCGCCTCTTCTTGAAACGATGCTCTCACTATTTCTTTAAAGTAATTGGACCTTTGAGTTTCTCTGTAAACTGACACAGTAACCTTTAGAAAGGGGAAAAGAATTTCCTTCCAGGTTACAAAGAAAATCGGATAACTAGACTTAACAAATAACTGTTTTAAAAAGCAATAACTAAAAGATTATTTGATTATTCTTGCATATCTTCTTCCAGTCAAGAATCTAATCTTTGTTGGAAAACTGAATAATGTTAATAACTGAACTGAAAACAGCAAATGTCTTGTGTACCAGATAGCCAGAGGAAGTTGTTTATGAAATTAAATAACATTTTCTATGAGATTAAAATAGCCTTTGTTGACCCAAGAGATATTCTTGTCATTTTTGTTGGTGATACTGCTAAGGCAATAATTGACATTCTTCTTCACTCTCATGAAACCTCTTTTGCCCCAGGGGGTCTGCGGCTGCCCCTGCACCAGCTGCCTCAGAAGTAGGGCTTCTCTGGAGCCTTTCTGGAGTCCTGTGGAAGCGTCTTCAGCTAGAGAGCTTTTACTTTCAGCAAATCAACAGTGCACAGAAATGTTGGCAGATTATTTCTGGCCTGTTTGACTTATTAATGATGTATTATTGTATACACTCCAAAGACTAAACCTCTGTATTGATTCTTTTTTCATTCATTAGGTGACGGCATTCTTGCAATCTCTTTAGAATACAAGCACCTCTTACACGCTGTAGATAGGCAGAGCTTAGAAGCACAAAAAAGTTAGATGTGCTGATGTGTAAATCCGGGGATCTAAGTTATTTCTGTGCTTTACAAAATGCTGCCTTTAAATACGTGTCTGTTTATATTAGAGTACGCTATTTAATCAAGTATTGTTAGCCTGTTGTGCTGATTGCAAGAATTTTTAGAAAATTGGGGTGCTAGACACTTCAAGCACTGGATGATTTTTGTTTCTTAGAAGCTGTGTCCTTTTTTTTTTCCCCAGCAACTTCCAATCCTGTTACACCTAAGCCACCTCTGTTCAATACCTTGCTTTATTCGTTGGTGCCTATAATGGGAATTGCAGTGATTGTGCTCTTTTCATTTTGGATGTACAGACATCACAAGCTAGCGTATCCTCCAGTACTCGTTCCAACCCAAGTAAGTCGCTGCGTTATGATTTTTGGTTTTTTGAATGGTAAAACCATTTTCTGGAGAGGAGAGAAGGGGGTGTGCATCTGTCAATGGCTGAAGTCTTCTGTTACTTTCCTGGTTTAGAGGTGCTAATGCTTGCTAGCTGCAAAAACAGAAAATTAAGCTTTACTTAAATAGCCTTATCTCCTTTAATTAATTGGTATTTGAATGTATGAGCAACTACTTAATGTTTTTACACATCTGTGTGTTTTGGAGGAGAAAAACTAAACACAAAGCTTGAGATGGCAGGGACACTGGAGGTGCTGTAGGAAGCTTGTACTCCCACGTAGTTAAAAGGACTATTTGTCTGAAAGCTGTGTACAGCTGCACTCAGGTACTTGCAGTTGAGCTTAGCTTAAAACAAAAATGAAGGAGAGACGCTAATTCATAATGGCAATTTGCAGTGAGTGGTAACTAGTAGAAGCTTAGCTATTTTTAAAAAAGCATGGAACTGGGATACAGGTATCAGTTAAAGGGAATGTAAAGAAAATCTTCGGTTGAAGCATAGTTCCAGGGCTTAGCTCACCTCTTGGCCTTACTGCTATTCCTGTTGTCTCTTTCCTCTTACTTGTTTGTCTTTTGTGTTTTGTCTTAAAATGTTTCAGTTTTAGCAGTGTTTGTGTTTTGCTTAGAAAATATTATGAGATTGTGGTCTCCAAATCTGAAATGTAAACTGGCTGCGTTGCATCAAAGCAAACCTTTTTTTGGCTGCATGTGCATAGTTCCTGCTGCTGTCAGGCTCCAGCTGATTCTGCAGGTGTAATTAGTATTAATACTAGAATTCCTCTTCCTTCAGTTATGTCTAGAGATTCAGTTGAGATTAGAAGGCCTTTATGAAAAGAGTTAAGACAGCAAACTCTTCCGACCGAAGTAGGAAGGATGAACAAAATGTGGTAGTGGAAATGGAGGGAGAAACGACTTGCTCAGGGTCCCACAACACTCGGGTTTTTGCAGTAGGAACTGAACTTAAGCTTCCTAACTCAGTGCAGTGACCCACTCAAAATGCACTGCCTCTCATACAATGATGATACGATGATGCTATTTGTGATTAAATAAAATTAAAACACTTGTTATTTTTGATAGGATTGCATTTTAAAAGGGTTTATATGTATTCGCACTGTACTGCCAGCTTTGGTGATATTTTCAGTGTTACTGCTTGACTCCAGGGTGTTCTGGGAAGAAGTATTGCCTGTGGTTGATAAATAAAATCATTTTGGTTTCAGTTTTGTAGTAATAGATAAGAAAAATTTGTGGGGAGGCAGTGGGCATATGTTCTTGCCAAATGAAAAAGAACATAATTTAGAGGAAAAAAGTATGTTTCCTGTCCTTGCAGAAAGTATTGCAGATCCTCAAACTTCAGGCAATCTGTTAGCATAATTATTTCATCCGTCTCAATTTTTATGTATTTGGGACTTTACATCAACCTAGTAGTCTTCACTGTAAGATCAAATTCATAACTGCTAGTTGTGTGAATAATTTGAGCATGTAATTTCTCTTGTAGACTTAAAGAAATTAAATAAGTAATGGATAAAGTGATAGAAAAGCAAGCAAATGTTAAATACATGCGAGATACTAAGGACCTGAATTTTGGTATTCTTCCTTCTTTTTATTGCAGTTCTTTTCTTGCATGGTTTGTGTTTGGTACAGGAGTGGACACGTCATAAGTTTTTAATAAATAGGGTAATAACCTGTTTTGTTGATGCTCAGATTGTATCTGTTGGGATAAGTATATGTTGGTGCTTGAGCTAGTTATGGTGTAATAACATTTTCTTATCTTGTGGTGAATAAGCATTAAGGTTTGATGTGGAAAGTCAGGAAAAGCTACTTCTGCCTGAAAAACTAAATGAAATTATGATGGAAATAGAATGTATAAATATTCTCCCATAGGCAGCAGAGCAGTATTTCCCACTTCAAATTTGATCAGAGCTGATTTGAACAGGAGGCAGAGGAAGCAGGAAGAAAGGGAAGAGTATTAGTAATTTTATAACCACGAAACAAACATTTAAATATTTATGCAATTAATATATTAAATATTAATATTATATTTAATAATTAGGGCATGAGTTGAGTTTGTAGGCAAATGGATTCCTTTCCAAGTCTTTCTGTAGCAAATGGTAGAATGTATAGATTGGATGTATAGCAGATACTCACTAGAAAACAGCGATTTCTGTATGAGATGCAGATAACCTTTATCTCATTTGACTCGTTTTATTCCCGGAAGGTGATGGGAGTACTTAGATTAGTACCAGGGCGTACTGAACCTTTCTTTCAGTAGAAGTTAAACAATAGATGAGGAATAGGCAAAAGATATAAAAATGAGGAAACACTGAAGAATGAGAAATTTTGGAAGAAAGAGGAGAAGAAGGGGGATAAGTAAATTTAAAAAAAAAAAAAATCGGAGGGCAAAAGGGAAAGCAGTTGTTTGGAATATTTCAAAAAAAGGAAGAAATATGCCAGAAGAAATTTTTGAACCTGTAATGAAATATGAAGGACAAACATCTGAGAATGCAAACAACTTCATTTTCTTTTGAAAGTAAAATTGTTTCACGGTACATGCATGTATCAGGCAGGCAGTTCCTACAGAAACTGAGCTCAGTTTACGGCTATGTGGATTAACTTTATGTTCCCTTTGAATGTACAGATAATTATTTTAAAATTTCACGTAGTAGAATTAGTTTATATGTCTGGTTTAAGATTGGAAAGCAGTAGATATTTTTGTTTGCTCCTTATATGTTTCATTCTTGCTTTCTTTCAGGTATTTGGGTAGAGAGGTCAAGGGGGTTACTAGAGTAGGTAGCTGCTGAGACGCTCCTTATCGGTACCCGAGTCAGAAGTGCTCAGCGGGTCCCGAGGCGTGTGTCCGGGACAGCCATGCAGAGCTGCGTGCTCCGAGGTGCCGCTGCCATTAGTCTTGGCTTACGTACTTCTTCGTCTCGTTTGTGCTGTTAACTGTATGCCTCACTTTATTGTGTGGGGTGCTATCTAGTTAAAGCTGACTGTCAAATTTCGTAAAATCTGTCACTCTTTAAATTCTTAAATGAGTTTTTAACAAATGTAAGTTTGCTAAATAGATACTTGTGTATGTAAAAAGGTTTGAAAGAACTATTTCATTTTCTTATTTATATTTGATTTGATCATGCAGCAAAAATATATTCATATGTCTGATCAAATTTACCCAAAAATGGATTAGTATTTTAAATATTTGAATCTGTGTATTTTTATATAGAAAGAGTTACTCTCACCTGGTTGATTTTCACTCACGAGCACCAGGTACACTGAAAATGAAACAGTACCGTCTTTGCAGACAAAGGCTTTCGCTCTAAAATTAGGTGTAGTTTAGTTTTCCCCACCGCATCCTACTAATATTCATGGTAGAAATACAAATGCGGATGGCAAGGAGTTGATATGTTATGCTCATTTATTTTTACATCTGTTGAGCTTGGGCCAGAGTTGTCAGTCAATGCTAATTACAACTGTGGTGTTACCACTCTGTCATCTGATAGATAGAACCATAACCTATTTTATAGCATAACTGACACAAGTAACACTTTTGTTTTTTATCAGTTCACAGAGCTGCGGCTCCCAACATTTTACATCCATACTGTGCAAAGAGAGATTAACCTCTTGTACTTTTTTTGAGTGCCCAAGTTACGAATATCTTACTGGATCACAGAGTTGCTTTTTTTTGGTTTGTCTTGTTTTTAAAAATAAGAGTCATATGTTGAGAGGGTTGAAAAAAAGCTTTACAGATTCACATAATGTCTTCATAACCTATTTCTGTGCTTTCTTTCAAAATGTTTGAAATTACTTGGGTCAAAAATGCTTCATGTTTTTAATCACTAAGCACAAGAAAGCCATGATCTAGGCCTGTTTGGTATTACCAGAAATTTAAAAACTCAGAATGGACAGATCCTGTCTATTCGTGTCCATAAAAGCAAGCTTAGTTGCTAGGAATTACCATTTCTTTCTTTTCTCAGAGAGGAGGATTACATAGTTGAAAAATACAACTACATCTTCTGCTTTTAACCTCCTGTATATCACTTCCTTTAAGCTTTTCACCCAGTATTCCCTGTATTGAGCACAATAATCTTTTATGTGCTTCATTTTTGGGTTGTTTGTTTTTTACCCCATATGGATGAACCTCACTGGTCCTATATATATATATGGAGAACATCCGTTGTCTTCAAAGTCATGTGCTATGTGAGCCAAGAATTAAGAATTGAAGCACATGTATCAAATACAGAGATACTGATCTTACCCCTCTGGTCTCAAAAGTTGTGGGGTTTTTGAGCTTAAAAAAAATACTGTGATTTTGGTTGATGGCAGTTTTGGTATGGCTCCCTTCACTACCATACCCTGATAGTCTTTGTTCAGTGTCTCTTTTCCTGAAGACACCCAAGTATGAGTAGATCTTCGTAGCTATATCATGGTTTTGATATTTCAGTTTCAGCCGTGAGAAATTAGAATTGAAAACAGTATCACATAATGTGAAGTGAATAATGATGAAGGAGGAAAATCTCTAGCAGATGCAAGACACATTCTGAAATACTGACTGCAGGTCCCACAGCATGTGTAGCAGTGGAAAAATTCTGTGTTGGAAACTAACAGGAAAAGAACATATAATAAAACAAGCACTGCTCTTTGCTGCAGTTTTTGACCACAGACGTCTGGTCTAGGCCACCAGACTTGTGCCAAGGAGTTTGGTGAGTGTGTGTGTGTATGTAACTTGAATAGTTTATTTTCAAAAAGTAGTTAGTAATGGGAAAATTTTTATGGTTGGCATTGGAAAAGACTTTCATTTGTTGGTTTTATTCTCTAAATTAACTTTTAGCACATGAAATAGTCTCGAGCGCCACATTGGGCGCCAAAAAGGACTGTTGTGGTTTAACCCCAGCCAGCAACTAAGCCCCACCCAGC